ATAATAATAATAATAATAATAATAATAATAATAATAATAATAATAATTATAGTTAATATTTATATGTATTGATATTAAACGCTATTTGAACAGAAAGTCAACAGTATAACAGAATAATGAATAGATGAAATAATTAGTTGAACAATCAACTATATTAATTTAGTAAAATATTTATTAAAATAAAGCCATACAATATTGTATGTAAAATTTTAAGAATCTTAATGTTTAAATAAAATTACGTTATTGTTAATCATCATACATCATAATGGATTTGATTATTTGTTCAAAGAAAAAAAATACAATGCAACTACGAAAGTATTTTTCAGCAATATACGTACATACAAAAGAATTATGTGAGTTATCACAAATAACCTATGAATAATACACCGAGGCGCATTTGTACAAGTATTCATCATATACTTCAATAATACTGGTACTGTATATGTATGTGTGTATGTGAAAGTGTGTGTATATACGAGCCAAATTTTTCAGGAAATAATTCTTAAAAAAAATACTTAAAATCAAAATTAACTTCTGGAAACTATAGATATCAAGATAATACTCAGAAACTTAAGTCTTTCAATTTTATAAAAGTAATGAGAAATATATTATTATACATAGGGATTATTGTATTTTGTTTTTTATTTATTTTAAATTTGTTTTCATAATAAAACACGGGAATCAAAACGGATCGAAAATTTAATGAAATCCAGACCGTATGTATGAGTATGTATAAGTATGTATGTATAAGTTGTTGGTTCAAGTTTTAAGCTCACGCGCCCGATCAATACTTTGCAAATGATGACAAAATAATGAAATCGTAACATAATGTATTAATACGACACAGTAAAATAATAAATTTACTAAACATAATATTTAGTTTTTTTTTATGGAGGAATTTTTTTTTCACGCGACCAGTATAATATAAACATAACATAAAGTGGAATTCCCAAGTAATTTAAAAATTTCCTTAACCTAATTTTCCTAAACCAAATCTTTATTTCCACGTAGATAAACTATATAGTGTTTTTTATGTTTTTGGATTTTCTGTACAAATTATAAAAGAATTTTTCCTCTTTTTTAAACTCGATATAGTAATGATTATTTTGAATGGTTCAAGTTTTTTACACTGAAAATTTAACCGAAATAATCATATTATAATATATTGAAACCAGTGGTAAAAGTGGAAGAGTACATACTACATGTGCATATG